TTTTGATGGAACATAACACACAAAAATGTGACAGCTGCACGCGAAGAGCGTCACACGGGTTGTTCCTTTTTCATTGATTTAGTAGCTGACCTTGTGGAACGCATACCCAACTGGCGGAAGTAGCCAATGTAACAACTGAACAACTGGTAATGAAGCATTTTTTTTTTTTTTCCTTTCTCCGCATGTTCACCCACTGGTTCATCGATACTTGAAAAATATGCAAATGGGTTTTGTTTTGCGTCACGAACAATATTGTGCATGCACACATGCGAATATGCACAGAAGGCAGGGGGGAAGAAGCGCGCTTGGTATAATTTGGTTGCTCGCATGGATTGACGAGTGAGACATATGAGTGAAGTGACTGCATTTGTCTGCTGACCCGTTCACCTCTCCGACATCCATGCAGCATAATTATAACGAAGTGTTTTGCACGCCATGGGATCGTCCCGGCTCTTCACAACGCTCCACATTTTACGCGGTTCATAAAAGGGGCAGTCTGATGTGGCTGCAGTGGAAAGACAGTACTTATACCAATTTGCTTAGTTGCCCTGTTAGTAGGTATTTTTTCCCTGTTTAAAGTGGCCCCTTTTTATTGGTTCCTTTTTTATCTTTCGATACGGGCGAAGGGGCCCAAATCAACTGTTTCGCGATTTGGGGTATCCAGTTGGCCTTTTTTTTTTGTGACCTGTTGTGTGCAGCTTTCTGCGTCAGTTTGCTGCGTCACTCTGGTGGGCCATTTCTTTGTAGACCCTTTTTCTGCACTGTGTTTTTTTTTTCAACAGGCTGCGTTTCACTTTGTCTCCGCCGTCACGAGAGTACAAAGCAGCGTAACATAGCATATGTGTATCAGCGGATGATCAGGCAAGGAACAAATGTTAAGTGTGCCATTTATATAGTGACCATCACTCATCGTACATCGTTTCATATTCATCTCCTTTTTTTTTCTCCCCCCTCCTGTGTGTGTCCCCTTTTTGCCCGCAGCTGGCGTGAACACAAAATGATATTTTTTTTAAAGCACAAAAAAAAATATATATATATATATAATTACACATGTGCAAATAATTTTTCCATACACGCACATGCGTACACATGAGCTAACGAAGAAGCCGGCGAGAGAAAGAGGACGCTCAAAGGGAAGCAACGTCACTTGGAAGAAAAAAAAAAAAGGATGAAAAGGGGCCGCCCGCCAAAGGGACACAGAGTGGACCATCAAATGGAGTAGGGGAGGAAGAAAAAGGTGAAGTAGAACATAATATGGAAGAACAGTGCAGGGAGAAAAAGTTCAAAAGGATGAGGATGAATAAAAAAAAAAAAAAAAAAAAAAAAAAAAAAAAAAAAAAAAAACATGGGTGCATTTTCGCTAGCTGTGTGTGCAAGGCCGCACATGACTTCACCCCTCCCGTAACTGGGAACTCCAAACCACGGGAAAATCGGTAAAAATTTTTACTTCCCGCTGGACAACTTCATTTGACGAACTGATGAGCGTATCAAAGCTGAGGTATTCATCATTCAAATTGTACTTCAGCCCTTCCGTTTTAATTGTACACTTGCCGCCAATGGGTAAAATGCCGCAGCTTTTGCAAAACACGTCCGGACTTACGTGTATAATGTGAGTTCCTGGCTGGAGCAAAAAGAGAAAGTTATTCTCCCCAATTAAGTACAGACTATGTAGGGAAGCATTTTTGTATAGGGATGAAATGTTTGCACACGTGTGGTCAAATCTGTTTCCTGTAGCGCCTAAAATTAATATTTTGTCATTTTTGCGGATGTGTCCTCGTATCACGTCGATGCATTTATCAAGGTCTGTATTTTCCTGGTTAGCGCACTTCTCGAATATGACTGACTTATTTTTGTAGTAGCTGTACACATGTGCGTTTATGCTATCAAAGTCGCCGCAAATTATGTGGGGCACTATTTCGTTGGGGGATTTCAGCGTTTTTTTCGTATCTTCCATTGGCATGTTGAATAAATCAGCGATGGTGTGTTGTCCATGCACATGCTTCTCACGCTCATTTGGGTGTGATGCATGCAGCGCTGTGTTTTTGTCTTCCTTCCCTTTCGGTGAACTTTGTTTATGACTTGCGCTTCTCTCCGTGGCTAATGACTGACACCAGTTGTACAGCCTGTTGGCGCCTCCATCGGCGCATATTAATATATCCGAGTTGGCAATAATTTTGACCGCATGGGCGCACATGGTGTTGTTCAGGATGATGGTGATTATTCTGGACTGGGGGGTTGATTCTGTTCTACCCTCTCCTGTCGTCCACTCTCTGCCCCACTTCTTTTCATCATTTAGCAAAATACATTTCATAAAATCAAGATCATGCACAATAAGGTTCCCTTCGTTTGGGCTCCTCATGCAGCTGAAGTGGGCAGAACGTAACCCTTTCGTGTCCCCTGATGTGCAGTACCACCTTGTACCTATATTCGCAAATATTCTCGCGCGATTGATCTGTTCGATCGCCCTGGCATTACCGCGTACGTGCACACTGACTTTCGCGCGCACGTTGAAGAAAATGCTTTTCATTTTTATGCGGAAAGGGAACCAAGTCTCCCCCCACGGGTGCAACGAACAAGGGCGGGAGAAATACGACGATATGGTGTGGCGCGACCTGCCTCTTAAACTGCCCTATTTTGTTTTTTTTTTTTTTGTTCCCCCAAATTTGCAACCTTTGTGAGGTGGTAAACAAGTGGGTGGAGGTAGAGCACCCATTTCTTCTTCGTCTTTTAATTTTTTTTTTTTTTTTTAAATTGTGCGTAGGAATATTTCCT